GTTCAGGTGTCTCTCAACAGAACGATATTAGCTGAAGAAAGGAAAAACTGCAGAAAACAGTCAAATTGTTCAAGAAAATTGAGCAGGCAGAAAGTCCATTAAAGCCTACAGCATTCTGGTGTGCACCAGAAACTGCTGGCTGAAATGGAGCAGAAGTCTTCCCACAGCAATTCTCTGGGCAGTTCAAATACAGCTTTCAGTGCTGGAGCGCATGTTGCTGGAGAAGAATACTCTGCCCTGTTTGTTCATTACCAGTTGTCCGTACCCTTCCTCCCCACTCCACTAGTCCAGGGAGCACTGATCAGTCACTGGTATCACAGATACCCAACCCCTGCATCAATCTCCAGGCAATATGCAGCACGTTTTTGAGAACCAAAATGATCAGGAGCAGCAGGGGAGGTGCAGAGGGCAAGGTAAGAGCAAGCCCAGCAAGGAAGAAAGGCTGTCATGGGGCAACCAGAACCTATTATGTACAATGTGCCAGGAAAAGTTAGAGCAAGGAAATGTTGCTCTAACAAAGGTTGACAATTAGAGTGTTTCTTCAACAAAAAAATGAGTGTCAAACTAGCCATGTCTCCTAGGGGTCAAAGGGAGGTGCTGAGAAATGGTTTGTCTGACTAGGAAGCAAGCCAGACCAGGAAGAAAGGAAAAAGTCACGAGGTCACTGAAATGGCAGAAAACCATGGCCAGTAACAGCAGGGCAAACATAATCATGATTAAACCATAACACTTTCCTGAGAGGAATTGGAGAGAATGAACACAGGAATTGTCATAAAGTCTTTTTGCAGTAAGGTTGAACAAACTTATTGTTCATTCCACCACAATGTAATGCATTCATATCAGATAGAAACCAATCTTTTGAAGCTTTCTAATCTCCTTTTAACCTGAAAATGGGAGAGAAAATATGTCTTCCTCTGCAGTTCCTTTAGGTTTTTTTCTTTCTCCTCATCAAAATCCCAATTTTTAGTCTTGGGAAATGTTGCTCATATTTCCTTCTCACTGAATGCCGAACACAGGTTGCACCAGATAAATATTCTTAGGGTATCAGTGACTAAATCCTTTTTCTGTAAAACTTTACCTTGATGCTAAGGTGTATGAAGATGAGAAGCCCACTTCCAGTAACTCTGCTGATTTGTCTCCAACAGAAGATGATGTCTCCTCTCCCTTTCCTGTAAAGGAGGCCTGTGTGATTCTACAAAGGCATCTTCCATATTTCACAGATATTGGGAGAGTGGATGGGTCAGCCAGTGATGTAGCATGTTAAAGTATTGAGGGAGAGGAGAGAAGGACTCAGCTGCTTTTTTTCTCTTTGTCTCAGACTGTCCAGGATAGTCTGGGTACCGTTTTGTGAAGAGGACCTCAGCTGTGACCTCACTGTGCTTTTCAGGTCCATTCAAGCCTAGCAAGCTCCTGTAGTTTACAGCCTTTTGACTGTAGATTTTTCCTGCCTTATGAGGTTGAAAAAGTCTTATAAAGTCTTATGCAACATCACAGACTGAGAAAAAGCAACAGAAGGCTGAAAGAGTTTGTATAAAAGTCATATGGACATGGTACTTCTAAGCATAATCCTTTGTTAGGGTAGTAAGTATCTTAGCATACAAACAACAGAAGGGCAGCTTTTAGTAAACACACACACAAAAAAAGAAAAAAACTATTCTGAGACAGACAGCTTAACTGTTTTCTGTAGGGCTAAGCCTGAGGAATAAAAAGAATTATAAAAACCCAATAACCTTTTCCATTGGGGTCAAGTGGTTGTTAAAGTGGTGTCTGGACAATCTTTTCTTCCATCTCCTGCCTGCTTTTCAGCTGATTCATAACATCACAAACATCAGCATGGATCTCCCCAATACACTTCATGATAATAGAAAAATATGCAGCATAGTAGTTACTTTATCCAATCATGCGAGAATATTTTTCTTTTTTTTTTCCCTTCAAGTACTCTGTATTTTTTAAAATATATGCTTCCACTTTCTAAGGAAGAGCTATTTATAAATTACATCTCTCTGGGAAGAATACCACTAACAATAATTTCACATGGCAAGCTTGACACACCAAAAAAAAGCAATGCTTTATGTTGCCCTAAGCAAAATTTTGACTAACCACTAATTATATTTTAAAAAGCTGAATGATAAAATATATATATTTTATATTTTTATATTTATATATAAAATATAATATATATATACAAATTCCTGTAGTTAACTCTGCACAAAGAGTCTAATGGTAGCACTGTGGCAGGATGGGTGAAATGCGAATGGTCTGCAATATCCTTGTGCCAGAGGCTGTCCAGTTAATGGAGGTGGTTACTGAGGGCTTAACTGGGGGAGGCTGAAGGAAGAGTAGCTGGAGGAGCCCGTTGGAGCTGAAGATTACTATAGTTTTTGGAGTCTGTTCTCACAGTCCTTGCCTAGATGACTTCTGTCACCCCTTTTACTGGTTTAGGTGACAAAAACTGCAATATGAAGCACCACAAGGGAGGCTGTGCAAAGTGCTGAGGTGGAAGAAAAGAAGAGGGAGCCAAGGGAAGAAAGGTGTCAGGGGAAGAAATTGGAGGAAGGGAATTAGGATTACTCATATTTTGTCTCTCTAAACAGCAATCTGTGATGGAGAGATCCATGTCTTTCCTTGTGATTACAGGAGAGCACTACTTAATTTACTATCTGCCATTCAAGCTTTAATAAAGGCCAGGCCTGATCAGCTTTGTGTGCATTGCTGAGATACATCTGGATAATATTTGTCTGATCTAGATATTTGTCTGTCCCCCAAGTCAGATCAGCAGCAGTTTGCTGATGGAATAGCAGTCTTGGATCTTTGTTTTGCATCTACCAGTTTAGTCTCAACTCAGGACATACTAACAAGCATTTTGATAGTCTCCAGCTATGTCCTCCACAACTTTCTGCAGCAGAGACAACAGAGGAGTTACCAAGTCAAGAAAATGAAACCATACCTTCTTTCTCACAGAACAGGGAAGAGTGGTGCTATGGAATATATTGGTTTTACTTTCATAAGTAAATCAACATCAGAAAGAACATCTGCACCACCCCCTCTGTCTGATCCTCTCCTAGCAAAGCCACCAGTGTCCGCTTTTTGATCCTTAAACAGCAAAACTGAAAGTTCAGCCTTTGTAATCTTCAGTTGAGCCAGTTGATAGAATACAGATGCAAAGAATGTCTTGCCATTGGCTGTAATCTAAATCTAAAGACACTAAGCCCTCAGAGATACATTAAAGTCAGACAGCCTGTCAGGAAGGCAGATGGCAAAATAAACAATTCGAGAAAAACAAGCACTAAACCTCTTGCTGACACTTAATAGTAACATGGGTAGGACAAATCTCACCAGGGTAGGGAATGCTAACTGTGTGTTTGTGACAAAATGAAATAAAATTATTTGAATTGACACTTATGTTCTCATAAATCTGACTGGCACCTCTATTACTGTTTTTACCTGGAACTTCAACCTTCGCTTGGGATGCTAACGCTGCTTGCATAAAGAAGCCAGGCATATGATGGAGCCCAGCATCCCTGACACAATTCACTTTCTGCAGAGATTCCTGTTTCCTGGCATGCAGGGGGACTCCCCTGACAAACCACAGCCTCTGTTCATGGCTCCCAGCCCATTTCTGCCAACTCTTTGTCCCACAGGTCTGTCGGCAGGTGCTCTCCCTGTGATTATGGAGGGCTGAGGCTATCCTGGGTTTCATTGCTGCATCTCCCTCTGCATTTTTAGGGGTAGTTTCCTTTCCTTCTTTTTCAAATTATCCACCAGTCAAAGTTTTAGATTATGTTTTCTATGTCAAATCCCAGGAAAATCTACAGCTAGATAAATCCCACATTTCAGGTCCTGCCTGGTATGTCAGCTACTGTGTCATTGAAAGGAAGCTGAATTACCCCCTCCATGAATTCAGAAATATGGCTGCTGTATAGACTCACATCTATTACCTTTCTAATGCTATATGGGCACATGTCACAGATGATGCTGTTCTCAGCAGGACACTCTCTGATCTAAGGCTGTGGTTGCTCAGACCTGCATTTGAACACTCAGCTGGCTTAGAAAAAAACAAAAAAACTGTTGTTTAGGTGCACTTTCCTCGGAGCTGGCCTTATTTCACAGTGAGAGACAGCTCTGTCCCTGGAGCACTGTAGAGGGAACAGGCATAAAGGGAAAAGTGGCTATTTTTTACTGCTTCCCTGATGTATTTCACTCTTCCAGTCACTCTCCATGTGCTCACCACTATGTGGAGTTCCAGAAGACCTGCTGTGACCAGTGAGGAGAGGGAGAAAACCCTTGTTGCAGTGTCTGTATTTTATATACCTAAACAAAAAGCGTGTCTCTTGGTTTTGTTCTTCTAGTTTTGAATATCCCTTTTAAAAATGCCAGCAATTAAAATACAAAAACCTCCTCCAAAGATCTATCCAGGAAGATAACTTCAGACTAAGATTAAATTCTGCTTCTTTGTTTCTGTCCCTAGAATCTTCTTGCTACCACATAGGTAATTGCAAAAATAGGCTCTACCAGCTAAGCTGAGCAAGAAGACAAGACAGATACCTCTGCAACCTCTGACATTTGCCTAAATGACTCTAGTGTCCTTTATTGGTATTGCAGTGACTCTATATGCCTGCTCCAAGTCCATTGGCTTCATTGTCCCTTACTGACTTAGCCCAGACTTCCAGAAAGCTTTCTAAGCATAGAAGGATGAGTATAGTACAGATGAAAAACCAAAAAAAAACCCCACGAGTGTGCTGATGAGAAACAGAATAGCCTAGAGCCTTCCAACTCTAAGTTGCTGATGTCTGCATGGTTAAAAATGAACTACCTAGGGCTATACGAACCCCTGGTGCTAGCCTGAGCAATGCATTCACATCCATTTACCTGAAATCTAAATTTGGTTTATTGCATTTCATAACCACATGGAAGACGACAGCATGTCTTTAATGCTGAATCAGAGCAAAAAGTTTCCAATTTTTATGCATATCAGCACAAAAGAAACCACTTCCACTTACCCAGGAGTACTGTAGATCCATATCAGTTAGGGAATATGTAAGATGTGGCTGATGAGAAGAGCAAGTACAGTTTTCCCATTCTTCTATTTTTGAAATTAAAAAATCACAAGGACAGAGCTGGTTGTCAGGAAACAGCTTCCAGTCACTCCACAAGTGAAATTCTGTTTCAGAATGAATTGAAATAGTTCCTAAGTTATTAAGTCTGGAAGTGTATGAGCGGCCCAGAGACGCAGAAATAAAATCCATCCTGGTCTCAGTCTCTTCTTTTCTCCTTGTATTATCTTTCCAGGACTTCTTTTCCTGAGGTTTTGTCAGCTTCATGCAAGAAGTTAGCGCTTCTTCATCCTCTTCAGAGAGATAAGCATCTTCTAAGGTATCTTTAAAAATGTAAATTCTTGTTATAGGATGTTGCAATTCATAGAGAAACTAGCACAATTTTTTTTAAAATTTAATAGCTGTCTTTCACTCTATACAATGAAAAAGCCAAGGACTCAATTTTAAAAAAAATTAGCAACAAAAATACTCCCACAAAAAAACTCACAAAAACACACACACAAAAAAAACCAAAACAAAAACCAAAAGAACAACCCCCCCCCCCCCCCCACCCCCCCAACACCCCCAAAACCAAATAATTATGATAATTAGGGAGATGGAAAGGATTTTGTACTGGGTCAGGCATCTGAGCCAAAAGTGAGATTTATTCTCCATTTGGTATCTTTGTCTTGTTTCCTCAAAGGTGAAAAAAATTATTAGTTCTGCCCATGAAAATTTGCTAATTGAATGTCATATTGCTGATAGTTTCAGAGAGAGTGAATTGAGATAGTTCAGGAAATTTTCTGAACTATTGCTCTCCCACCCCTTTATGTATGTTGTAGTTACAAAGTAGTTGTTAAAATCCCTATTTCCTCACGTGTTTCAGCCCAAGCAGTGAATGGGCTAAAGCAGTAGTTCAACAGATAGTTTAAACTTGTTTTGCTAATACTGGGTTATAAATAATCATATAAACAAGTGTGTTGTACAACCAGTGCATGCAATAAATAACGTTGGCAAAACAAGTTCAGAGGAAGAGCTGCTGCACAGTCAGATCAGAGATCTATAGGAGACTCCAGAAAATCAGCTGAGGCCAGAATCAGTTCAGAATTCCTGGTCCTTACAGCCCTGGGCACTCAGGTATGATGAGAGACTGACTTGCTTACCATACCTCAGACCTTCCTGCAGATGCTACTGACCCATGGATTAGCGCTGGAAATTATTTTCCCATTTGTGAATTTTGCCTTTCTGACCCAAAATGTGATACAAAACTAGGAAACCCAAAGTGTCCCCAGCACAGAGGCCCTGCTGTTATACAATTCTATTTATCTAGAATCCCCACTTGTGAGATGCACTGTTACAAAACTCCAGCTAGTGTGACAGGAAACAGGTTTTCACACTATGAGGAAGTCAGCGCTGGAGTGGTATCACAGTAACATCTCAGTCGGGGGTTGAAAATCGTGGGTGGTGAATGACAGACCAGGACTGGATTGTTTATAGTTATGTTCAATCCAGTGCAATTTGCCAAATGTTGGAAGGACTGCTGATGTGATGCTGTACTTACTGAGGGGAACCAGAACGTGCTTGACGTCTTCCAAGCTCTGTGTACTTGCTTTCTTTGTTCGGACCAATTTCTGCAATCTTTTTAATGTTCCCCTGGACTCAGATTTGTTGTCTGGTTCTGTACTCTGCCAAAAAAACAAAACCAAAACAAAACAAGAAAGACACTAAAATAATTCAAACCCTAAAAATAAAAACTAAGGGTAACATGGTGTTTATCTTGAGAATGACAAAGTGTTGGATTCAAAGAACTGATCATTGACACAATGCTTTAAAAGTTAGGCTTTTCCTTGCTTGGGACTAATAGGTTAAAAAAAGGAGAAAAGGAAACTCATGGGAAACATCAAGCTTAGACCAGTGTTCATATTGCTGTTTACATATTTTTTTTCTTGAATACCTAAGAATTACAGAATATAAGCAGGACCTAGTGCAATAAACATATACCCACATATAACCCAAAAAAATCTGAAACTGCTTTATTCTTTCAGGAGCTTTTATGATAAAATACTCTTTGCTATGTTAATTATTATTATTATTATTACTACTACTACTACTACTACTACTACTAATTATTATGTGTCTAGATGCACCTTTCAGGGCTACCTTCATTGGTGATATAAACTATACTAATGCTGACAGAGCCTATATTGACTTCTTTCCTTAAGGATGGGACCCTAAGAGACATCCTTCTTTAATTACAATAATGCAAAAGTTCCCACAGTGGATAGCACTTGGGTTTAGATCCCTCCTTCTCAGCAGCATGCTACATTTCATGAAATCTGCAGTGTTCTGGCAACTGGAATCTGTTCCATGGGAACAGAGCAGGAAGCCAGAGGGTTGACATCTTTTAATGTCTCCAGTGTCTCTTGTAGGCCAGGGCTTCATTAGTGTCTCAGTTTTACAGTGAATGTTGCAACTATCCCTGAAAGCTGCACTTCAGTCTCAAAGTTCCATAAATTGAACTCCTTACAGATGAAATTAAGACAAAAGACACTTTCCAGAAGTTCAGCTGATGACCTCCAGCTACTGGTTGGAGTCCAGCAGGGAGGATGTGAGCATTGGTAAGACCTGGACACACTGTGGGCATCAGCTCATCAGCACCAACTGCTCTGCTGTGCTTTTTCTGTCCTTCACCTGCATGTAGATTTCTTTCCTCTTACAAATTCAAGATGGCAGAAATGCATTTTTGTCTTAGGTAACGAGAGAAATTGAGGTGCAATTTTTCAGTCTCATTGTGAGATGTCTTTGCAAAATAAATCACAGTGGCTTAAAATGCTAATATTGCTCTCATATTAGAACTCTTGTAGCAATAATAATTTGTCCGCTTATAAGTAACAACACAAAAGCAACATGATGACTTTGATTTATGATCTTGGATTTCCATCTTGGAAACATCAAGATAAATGGAAGATAATCTATTCAGATAATTTCATTAATGGCAAACTCTAATCCTCTTTTCCTTAAAAGCATGCCTTTCATGGAGTCTATTGTTAGGGAAAAGTCATAAGTGCTTAAATAATAAATGTAGTAACTCTCTTTCATGAAGAAAAAAAAAGCTCATGAAGTATCAGCTAGTGGTGAGACAGCTTTAAAATTTACAGTATTTTATTTTGGCTTACATAAGCATTCAAATATGGGATTTTATCTGCCTATCCAAACATTCTTTGATGTAGAAACCAATCAGGTGAACTGTGCTTTGCCCCAATCTATGAGCAAAGCTATCTATAAGGAAATAATTCCCACATGAATGAGAACCAAGAATATTATTGATTTCCTTACTTAATGGGTTTTAGTGGTGAAAAATCATGTCACATCACAAATCAAAATGAGTTGTGTAAAAAAATAAATCACAGGCTGCCCTTTAGTTGCAAATAATTTGCATGAAGCATGCAGGAATACTTAAGCACAAAAAAATATACATTTTAAAAATGCACTTCTAAAATGCATTACAGGAGAAAGAACTAAATAATGTCTGATAAACTGTTTCCACTTTATACAAAGATATTTTAAATACCTTACACATCTTTGCACAGTGAGATGTTATGAGGATTAACCTGGTGACAGAAATACAGCAATTTGGAAGCTAAATGTAAAACACTGCTGGTCAGATTCCTGCAATCTCAGTCCTGTTGAGCACTCTCTTTCCTGGGTGTAACTGCATTAATTTCAATAAAACTACTTGCACAGCATGTCACTTCTCAGCATTAAGAATTTAGTCATGGCACAGTTTAATCTCTGTGATTTTTCTTTAACTGCTTTGCCTTTCCCAAGGAAGTGCAATGATTTAATCATGACTACCAATGCACTTAAATTCAGAGTACAGCGTAAGAGTGAGAAGACAAAAATTAATGTGTTTACTGTGTCCAGGGTGCTAATTGTTATGGTACCATAAAAATGTTTGGAAAGTTTCAGTAATAACATGGCTGCACATAATTAATATTAAAATAGTATGTGATTATATACAACTTCTTGCTCTTTTTAAAAGAGTTCTGTAAAATGCATCAAATTTGGATAAATCTTCTGTTTAAAAATGTCGATTAAGCCATGGTCAGCACATAGAGAAGCACTGTCTGGACTTCTCTCACATGCTCTGCCCATATTCATCTGACCTTTAAATATCCCCATGATGTTGGCCTGGTATTCCAACTAGTTTAAAATGAGTGCAGAGTCAGACTAAGCAGTCTGAGATAATAGGCAGATTCTGCCCTGGGAATCACAGCAATAATACAATATTCTATAAATGATAAGGAAATATAATGATTAATAGCTGATTAATAGCAGGGCAATAATAAGGTTTTCTATAGAAGAGAGAGAGATATCATGATTAATAACATGGATATGGATAAAGATCTTTAGGCTTTTGGAGAAGGATCATACAGCACAGGAAAAACCAGGCTGTGAGCCTGTTCTCAGCTGCTGGTGAAAAAAAAATAAACAATTTTCATGGCTACTCACCATTTCACTGTTGCCAGGCACACCTGGATTGTGAACTCGTGGTGGGATCCATTGTTCATAGTTTATCACCTAGATAGTAAGAAAAGTAAAATAAAAAAAAATACAACTTACAGAAGATGAATAAGCAGAATTAGCATTGTGTAATTAAATATAGATAAGAGCTCAGCAGCTCTTCAGCCTGGTACCGTGTGAATATGAAAGTAAGACTGACATATACCAGCTGCCACCCATTGAAATTATTTTGGTATTGAGCTGTCTTGATTTCCTCACTTATCTGGGACTCAGTAACATCTTGGAGACATCACAGTGAAAGTGGTACCATGGCAGAGCTGTGCATTATAGTATGGGATCCTTGGATCTCATCCTAGATCATGGCTTTCCCTGCTCAATGAACAGGAAAGACAGAAGACTTCCTTCAGCAGCACCCCCTTAGGAGCATCACTGATGCAGTTCTAAAATGAGTCTTGCTTGGTTCATTTTTCCTGGGATGTTGAGCAGCAGGGGTGTGAGTTTGAACTGGATTAACAAAGGGGAGAAAATGGGACAATCCTCAGAACTAAGATAAGACTATTCACACTTTCATCATCTGCTCATAAGCCATTTGTTGGTCACAGTGTCCTCAGGAGAGGAGCACCAGGGGAATACACCT